ATGGTAAAGAGGTATTTTGAAAAAGCTATTGTTGAATTTGGGATATTTTCAATAATTTCTCATGAATTGTGGACCACAGGTCTTAAGAGTATAAATTCTAAAGAATTAAAATAAAATCACTTGCAATTTAGAACAATCACTTTCACTTTGAAAGTAATTCCTCCGCTTGAAGGCGTTTGTAAAGAGAAGGTGTCCACGAACTCAAATACAATTCGATTGCCACAGAGGCCCATTTTGTACAACGGTGCCAAATTGCCCCTTCCACAATGAGGATCTTCGGGATGACTACTAGTTTGCTAAGCCAGACCTCTTGCAAGCGAAGGACACAATTAAATGTTTTCATTATTGCAATAATAAAGGGTTATTAGCACAAAAAGGTTCCTTGGGCATTAGTGTGCAAAACATTTTTAGGTTTCGAATTTTTGTATTTTCGCCCATATTTTCACATTTCACTATGGAAATCATCATTTTCATCTATTTTTTCAATTAAAAAATGTAAAATTACGAAAACGCCATCCTATTTAAATGAAAGGAAAAATAAAGAATAAATTAAATCATAGTTCCAAAATTTCAAAAGATTACAAATGAGTCTCCAATGTATAATTAAAAATCCAACATATGCCAAAAACTCAAGCTAACCATCACATTTGAACCTTAAAAACTCTGACCAACCACCACCCAAACTATCGGAACTCCATACCATTGGACAGTCCTCACTCCCCTCTATACATATTACCCATCCACCAACCCTAACGTCACAAGATTTGGTCGGAATTGATGACCAAAATCAGCAACTTGTCAGGACATAAACCGACTACATCACCTTCTCCAGCGAAACCTATGCCCTTTCCTTCATACCCGTCGACTGTACTTATCAGGGTGCACCTATTCATGGTCTTGCAACATCAACAAATCCACACGATCAAAATTTACAGCCCCATTTTTCGAATCAAGCGAAAACGCAACTTTTAGTTTCGATTTTCGGCACCAGTGGTGGGACCCATGATCGCAGACTAGCCATTCTGGCATTATCTGATCACAACGCAGCAATTCCACCTATGGCTCTTCAACAATTCAGCCTCCATATGACAGATCGAACAAGAAGATTTTGGCTATCGATTTCGATCAAATCTAGTGAAACATACGTCACGTCGCTGCAACGACGATTGTAGCTCTCAAAGCAGCGTAGAGTCATCCCAAACATAACGGATGGAAGAACTACTAGATCCACGTCACTGCCATCCCCCAAAACCACATCCATATTGTCGTCGCTACATAGTGACTATCGTGCAGAGCAACACACAGTGCCGTTGCAGCAGTGGCGACTGCAGCTCGGAGTCTCGCGCGGGGCTTCTACTACACCGGCACCGACTTCGTTGGGAGAGACTGCAGTTCGGAGTCTCGTGCGGCGCTTCTACTGCACTGGCACCGACTTCGTTGAGAGAGAGGGGGGGGATTAAAATGATTTTGGGTTTGAAATTAGGTAGGTGAGTGTTTTGATGGGTGTTGAATTTGTGATATAATTATTAATATTAAATTGTCACTTGATTTTTTATTAAATATACTTCATAT